TGTTACAGTGGTAACAGCCACAGACAGCATATAAACAAACAGGCATGGCTGTAATCCAATAGAACTTTCATTAAAATGTCCCTCACCCCACCCCCACCCCCGGTTTAAAAAAAAAAAAAATTGGTGGGCCAATTTGTCCCAAAGGCTGTAGTTTGGGGGGGCGGGGAGAGAGAAGACACAAATTACCAAAATGAGAAATAAAAAAAGGCACATAATAGAGACTACAGAAAGGCAAAGAATGATAATGGATTATAAACAACTCTATGCCAAATTAGACAATTCAGATGAAATGGAAAAATCCCTAGCACAACACAAATTATCAAAATGGACTGAAGAATAAGCAGCAAATCTGAATTGGCCTTTTTTAAGAAAATTAATTCAATATAATAATTTTTAAATATCCTCCAAAGAGAAGTCTAGGTCCAGATGGATTCTATGGTGAATTCTATCAAACACTTAAAGGATAAATAATGTCAATTCTACACATATTCTTTCAGAAAATTAGAGAATATTTCAAAACTCATTTTATAAGATCAGTGGTATCCTGATATCAAAGCCAGACAAAGACATCACAAGAAACAGAAGCTATAAAATAATAGCTAACATCACACTTAATGGTAAAAGATGGAATGCTTTCTCACTAAGATCAGAAACAAGGCAAGCATGTCTGCTTTCACTACATTTATTCAGCGTCATACCGGAGGTTCTAGCCAGTGCAATAAAGCAAGAAAAATAAATTAAGGCTTAAAACTGATAAAAATAAATAAATAAATTTGTGTTTATTTACAGATGGAGGGAGATGAAAAGGTAGCACTGAATATTGGTAAACAGTGATGTCACTAAGAAGTACACAAAAGAAAAGGGTGTTTTTGATAAAGGATATGTCACACACAATCTTGGAACAACACTACTAACAACCAAAAAATATGTGTGTGGTTATGTACATATGTATATATGCATACATGAGTATGGCCATACATGTATGTGTACACATGTGTGTACATATAGAAGCTATATGTTTATATATACCTGTATGTGTACATGCATGCATGTTCATATATATAATAAACCACATAGGAGGTACAGTCATGGATACTTCTTAGACACAGCCAAACAACCTGTGGAATTGGTTTTCTGGATTTGAAGGCTGAGGACCATAGTCTCATGGGACAATTCCATCAACTGGCATAATATAGTTCATAAAGTTTATGTTCTACATCCTAGTTTGGCAAGTAGAGTCTAGGGTCTTAAAAGCTTGGAATTAATGAGATTGCTGACACACTGTAAAAAATGTAGCTGATGTCACCAAACAATTTGTATGTTATTGTTGTTATGTGCTGTCAAGTCGGACCTGACTCATAGCGACCTCTCCTTGGGCTTCCGAGGCAGTATCACTACAGAAGTAGATTGCCCAACCTTCCTTCAGAGGAGTGGCTGGTGGGTTTGAACCGCCAGCCTTCTGGTTAGCAGTCAAGTGCCTTAGGCACTATGCTATCAGAAATCCTAAACAATTTGTATAGTAATCATTACATGGGGATCTAATTTGCTGTGTAAACTTTCACTGAAACACAGTAAAATATTACATGTATCTTATTAAGTAGATAGTCACTTCCTTACTGCCAGTACATTGGTTCTTCAACTTAAATGAAACCTTGATCCATCTCTTCTTTACTCATTTTCTTGACCACCTTTTTTTCTTCAGTTGTTACCTAACAATTTCTAGAAATGACTTTAGGCAGGGCCCTTTTTCATTTGCTGTAAATTCTTTCTCAAGCATCAGTAACCAACTCATTCAACTCTTCCACAAATGTATTAAAACATTTACAACACCTAATATCAAATAGGGAGCTCTGGTAGCATAGTGGCTAAGACACTTGCCTGCTAACCAGATGGCTGGCGGTTCAAACCCACCAGCCACTCCTCGGAAGGAAGGTTGGGCAATCCTACTTCCGTAGTGATACTGCCTCGGAAACCCAAGGAGGGGTCGCTATGAGTTGGGGCCGACTTGACGGCAAATAACAACAACAACAACAACATCAAATAAATCATAATCACATGCTGTACTTTCTGCCTAAAATGACTTTTACCTCTTAATTCTTACTCATACTCCAAGACCTAGCTCAGGCTACAGCTCCTCTAAAAGCTTTCAGATTAAGCTTTCTCTCCTTAAGTGCTTTCTCAAGTTCCTAGCTCCCACCTTCAGGTGCTTTAAGAACACACATTAAAGAAGCATACTATTTGGAAAACATTTGCATTTAATATTAATGATTTTTTAAAACTGAAAGGAGTCTTAAAGATTGTATCACTTCTGCTTGTCATTTTACAGACTAGTCACATTAATAGTAAGAAGTTAAGTGATATAATCACAGCTATCAACTAGATCTTATCAAAGAGAAACAGATGTCTTCATAAAATAAGCACTTGAAAACAAAAAAATTTCCAATTCAAACTATGCAAATAAACATTAAATTGATTTGCAGGTAACTCTCTCAATTTATTAATTTGTAGCTATCTGTCAATCAATCAAAGGTCTGTTCTTTCTTTTTTTTAAGTTTTTTTAATTGTGATTTGGGTACAAGTTTACAAAGCAGATTCATTTTACATTCAACAGTTCATATACATTGCATGGCACTGATTACAATCCCCACAATGGACCAGGTTTCCTCCCTCCTCCTCCCTGTGTTTACCCCTTCCCTGTATCCTTCTTACCTATGCACTGCTGTCTGTTTAGCTTGCTGCCCACATAAATGCTAGCCTTCTGATAGTTCAAGGTTAACTGTTCTAAGGGGTGCATCTCCCTGGGGTAGTGTTAAGCTCATAGACCTTTCCACAGGAGTAAGTCCAATTCCAGGCCCAAAGGGTAACCTGGGACCATAGTCACAAGGGTTTCACCAAACTCTATCTGACCAGTAATTCTGGTCATTTTTATATTTTTGAAATTAATTCCACATTTCCCTCTCCCACTCTATCCAGAATCTTTAATTCTGATCCCGTTTCTAGTAGTTAGTATTAGTAGCTGGGGACCATCTCATTCTTTTGGTCTCAAAGTCATATAGGCTGAGGTTCCTGTGGTCCATTAGGCCCTTGGACTAAGTGTTTCCATATGTCTTTGATTTTCTTCACTTTTCTTTGCTCCATACAAGGAGAGACCAATAGTTGGATCTTAGATGGCATCTTGTCAGCTTTTAAAACTCCAGTTGCTACTCACCAAAGTAGGATGCAGAACAATGTTTTTGTGTACTATATAGTGCCAATTAAGCTTAATGTCCCTGGTGACCAGGGTCCCAAGACTATAGGCCCCATGACTCACCTCAAGGTGCTTGGTTGTGGCTAAGAAGCTACCCCAACCTTATCTCCTGTTAGTTCTATAATGTACATGGATTTTTTATAGCATGTACAAATACACATGTAGGAATATCATCAGCCAGACTTATCTATAAACCTAAAAAAAAACAAACTCACTGCCGTCGAGTTGGATCTGACTCATAGCGACCCCTCCTTAGGTTTCTGAGGCAGTATCACTATGCAAGTAGATTGTCCAACCTTCCTTCTGAGGAGTGGCTGGTGGGTTTAAACCACCAGCCTTCTGGTTAGCAGTCAGATGTGTTAGGCACTACGCCACTAGAGCTCCTAGACTTATCTATGGTCATGGGTATATTCCCATTCACCTACCTACCCACACCTTATCTCCCCTATGTACCCATCTGTAGACTAGTGTTTGTTATTAGTGATAATGCAGTATTATATAAGTGATAGTATTTGCCTCTGTTGTTTACACTTCTTTGTGCACCTCTTTATGTCCTCCTTTTCCCTATTGTTATTATGCTAGTCACACACTTTTGTTATATTATTAAAGGTCTGTCCTTAAGGTGAGGAAGAAGTGCGGGTGAATGGTTTGCAGCTTTAAAGCTAATTTCATTTACTGTACAACAATCTTTACCTTAAAAAGTTTGTCAATGGGTTGCCTAAGATTTCTAGAACTCATTTTCCATAGAAAATGCTACTATAGTTGATACTATTTCAACTATATTTAATTGCACACACACACACATATATATGAATGTAAGTCTATGATGAAAATCATATTCTCAATTTTAGCCCAGAACTATACACCTTATACAACATGCCAAAATTTGTGATCTTGCTCAACCTAAACAAGACAGGATATTTTCTTGGTCAATCACTGTTCAGTTCTTACCATTTTCAAGTGGGGAAAAATGGAAAGAGATAAATGGGAAAGAGAAATAAAGATCTGAATACTTTGTGAGAGGGAAAGTGAGAAGAGTAACGGGTCAAATATTTATTAGATAGAAAATAATTCTTATTTCCTTATAAATAAGGTAGGAAGTGGTGCCTCTACCTCTTCTACTACTTGAAATTTCTCTTGAAAGAGAGAACAGACCTTTGGTTGATTGACAGATAGCTACAAATTAATAAATTGAGAGAGTTACCTGCAAATCAATTTAATGTTTATTTGCATAGTTTGAATTGGAATTAATTTTGGATTAATAAATTCTGCTTCTAAAAAGCAAATAGTCCCTCCCTTCAGCAGTAGTATAAGATAAATCTTGTTTATAATTTGAAGAATTTTCCTAATTATTTAGCTTTTAGTAAGCATTTCTGAAAATCGCAGAACTCATATATTAAGCACCCAAACCAAACCAAACTCACTGCCATCGAGTTGATTCCGACTCAGAGTGACCAAATTTTGGGTTTCTGAGGCAGTAAATCTTTATGGAAGTAGATTGCCCCATCTTCCTTCTGTGGAGCTGCTGATGGGTTTGAATCACTAACTTTCTGATTAGCAATCAAATGCCTTAGGCACCATGCCACCAGAACTCCTTCATTAAGCAAAGGGGATAAAAATTTGGTTGTCATGATCACCATGGTATCGTATTTCTTAAAAGCTACATAGAAAGAACACTGACAAAAAAGCCAGTATCACTGACATACACCTTACTGCACCATATATCTATGTATTAAAATCTTTATTTTCTAACCTGGAATGTCGGAGGCTGTCCTTTTTGTTTTTTGCAGAACACAAAGTGCATTCACAGCCAACAGCATGGGGCTTGGGTAAAGATACATCCTGCTTTAACAGCATTGTAAGAATTTCATAGTTGTTACGATGAGCAGCTAAAATGACAGGTGCAACATCAATAGTTGTTGAATACTCAGGATTCTGAATCCGTTCCATTAGTTTCTGAAAAATATTTATATAAATGTCCAAAAATTATTATTTGTGATATCAAGAAAATGTTTATCTGCAGAATGAAATTAAAAATAAAAGAAGGCATAAAGGCCATGAGAAGTGTTTTAAGGAATATAAAAAATATTTTACTAGGAATGATTTTTAAAAGAAACCTCAAAACTGTAATTAAAATGCAATAAAATCATAACAGTGTAAAAACATCAAGAGGAAACATTCATATGATTAGAGTACTGTTTTCCTAACAAAAAAGGATTAATGATATCTAGAGAAATATTTTAGGACAATGTCTTTAATTTCCATAAGATTATAGAAGCATGCATAATGGCAAGGATAAGAACAGAATTTTAGAAAAAGAATATAATGGAAAACAGAAATATTAACAAAAATAGGCAGAGTAAAATGTATGAGAAAAACTTTAAAAATTCCACCTCTATGGCAAACTTTGTCACATTGAGAGCAATGAAGCTACATGAAAGGGAGAAGTGAATAGGAACCATTCTTCATGTGGTATAATTCTCTACACATTCCCAATTATTACCTGTACTACCTCCCATTACCGCTGCACAAAAACACTAACAATCATAGCTACTACTTAATGGGCTCTAGAACTGTTAGGCACTTACATTTATCATCTCATTTAATCCCCACAATAGCCTGCAAAATTGAGTGTTATAATTCCCACAAAGAAACTGAGGCTCAGAGAAGTTAATGTACCCAAGGCACACGATAAAGTGGCTGAGTCCTGATAGAATTCATGTCCGCATTTCTCCGGAGCCTGAGCTCCTTCAACTTCACGGGCCCATGGGCCTGGGCAGCACGACATAAGGAAAGAAATACTAGTAATTAAAGGACCAGAGTCAAATAAAAAAGGTTGAATATTTTATGACTACTGCACATTCTTTCTAGTGTTTCTCATTTTTTCACACAGTGTCCCTGAAAGCTGTTTGATTCCACAGTATAAGCACATCAAGTTCACTTTTTTTCTTTTTTTGTAATTTTTATTAGCATTTTGAATGTAGTGTATACTTATAAAGTGTCTGGAAAATGTAGAAAAGCCAACAATAAAAAGACCCATATTCCTCCACCCAAACATTTTTGAGCACAGTACTTCCTTCTGGTTCATTCTCTAGCATATCCCCTTTTAAGGACATCTTTTGCATAAACAGTAAGTGTGCCCACCGTCTATGATTAGAAACAATGAATCTTAATATTTTGGAGATCAAGGACTCTTTCAATAAAAACATAAAACTACAGCCCAGCATATTCAGAAAAATATCATGCACAGAACTCTGAATGCAATTTAAGGAGGTTCATAGATCATGTGTTCAAGATATTTTATTTAGCTAGTTTAAATAACACTACTGCAAGCATCTTTATGAATACAACTTTCTCCAAATTTAGAATTATCTCATTCACATACAGCCCCAGAAGTGAAATCATAGGCTTAAAGGCAATAAGCAGTTTTGAAGCCTTTGATACACATTATCATGTCCTTTTAATAGTTTGTATTACCAATACTATAGGATTGTACCCATCTCACACTAAAGCTGTACTCACCAGCACTAACTGTGATTGATCACTCTCAATTTGATGAGTGAAATATACTATTATGAAATTTTAGTTTACTTTTGTTTGATTACTGGTAGATTTGAATAGTTTCCCACATATTTATTGTCTTATTTTCCTCCATTTTATGAATAGTTTCTTACATACTTGCCCATTTATTTATTGGGGGTTTCAAATTAATGAATTTATTTAAAAAGTTGAAAAATTACAGAGAAACTTAAAAATTCTTATCATTGATTGCTGGTTATAATGAAGAGGAAATATATTTAGTTCTGTAAGAAAAAATGGTCCTCATTTTTCCTAAGAAACTATACGAAAATATTTTTATTATAGATGCCTAAAATTAAAGTTCATAATTTCATTGTTCATAGTATAATCTATGTACTATCAAACAAACAACTTGTAGTTGAAAGCTAATTACCAAAAAGACAATTCTGCTAAGCCAGGAGTACAGAATGAATTCACTGAAGTGGTAAAAGAAAATATATAAAAATATTTTATATTGCCCTTGTGCAGAAGTAACAGGGGGGTTAAAAATGTGATCTTTTCATTGTAAATATTCAAGCAAATGCTGGATAACCTTTATTTGCTAGATACAGTAGAAAGCATTCTTTACCGAGTGGGAGAAGCCTGCCAAGGCCTTATGGCTCTAACATTCGATTGGTAATGGTAATGGTGCTGCAATAATACCAGTCATTGGTTCTAATACCCAAGCATGCTACCCCACCCAACTCTTCCCTTCACAAAATTTAATGGGTGAAAAGGCTAGAAGGTAGAACACACACCATACTGTCATAGGAAATGTATGATAGGTAACAAAAAATTCAATTCTAGATATTGATGGTCTATTTGACAAGAATTATATTCTTGGCCTTCTTTCTCTCTTTCTATGGCTTCTTACCATCACTTAAAGTGAGTGGTACAATCCTATAGAGAAAGTTACACTTACCCTAACTTACTAATAGTCTAAATGAATAGTTATTGTCCTTTTTTCCTTTATAATTGAGAGTAAAATATTTCAATTAATATGTGATAAAGTATGTAATGCCACAGAGCCTCTCAGAGTTCTCAGATCAGGTTCTTTTTAAAACAATATTTTTCTTCTTTTATACCCAGTTTATACTCCCTGTAATTAAACTGTTTCACTATAACCTCACTTATATAATAAATGGTATAGTTTTTAAATTTGTGTATAACAAAGTCTCATTTTTTTAAGTTAGCATTTATTTTATTATTGCTTACCATCTTCCTAATTACAAAAGCAATAAAGAAAAATTTTAAAACAAAAAATATCCTTAATTTGACAATTAAGAGATGACCCTGTTAGATCTTTTTCTATGCATATTTTAAATTTTGTATTATATTATATGCACAGTTTAGTATTCTCATTTTTTTCCCTTACTACATCATATTCTTCCATGTTTCAAAATAGTCATAAAAATACCATTTTAATGGTTGAACAATATTTCACTGTATGTATATGTGATTATTTATATTTTGGTCCTCTGTTTTGTGATGTTTAGATTCTTTCACATGGCCTTCCTTCCTTCCACTCTTCTTTCTCTTTTTGTTTTCTTAATTTTCTTTGCCATTTGCAAATAAGATGGCCATTAACACTGCTGTTTACACTTTAGATTATTTCCTTGATAGGTTCCAACAGGAGGAAATCCTAGATTAAGGAATATGAACATTTTTCTTGTTAATGATACCTCCTGCTAAACTGTTTTCCATACACCCTCCCTACCAGTGGTATATGAGACTGCACTACTCCCTTGCCATCAATAATTACTATTTTTAAAAAATCTTTGCTAATCAGATAAGCAAAAATTAGTATCTCATTGTATTGGATTATCAGTACAGCTTAATATCTTGCACTTTCTTCTCTGAGATTTTTTTCACATCTTTTATGACAGTGTTTTTCATAGATTTGAGCAACCTGTTGTTTTTCATTAATGTATATATTCTTAAAATTACTAATTTGTGATATAGACTGCAAATATCTTTTCCTAGTTATCCATCTGCTTTCTAAATTTTGCATGATATTTGAATTCCAGAAATTTAACTTCTATAGTCAAAGACACTGAACTTTGCCACTGTGATATTTTGTCCACTGCTTATGATTAGAAAGTCCTTTCTTTCCCAATCAGTTAAAAAATTCACCTACATTTACACTTTGACTGTTTACATTTAATTTCTTAAATCCAACTGGAAACTTACCTATATTTCCAACATAAACTAAAGGATATTCCAAACTAAAAATACTGGTCCACACTGACAAAATTATGGAAATATCATTAGCTTAAAAAATAGTTTCTAGAACCAATATTAATAATTTTTACAAGTGTCTACTTACTTTAAAATAATGTTTTACATAGTGGGGAAAAAAAAACTTTTCCTTTAAAGTAAAATAAATTTTTTGGGGAAAAAATGGGGCAGTATATCTATTTTGGTTTAAAAATCCAAATTAATAAATACTTAAGAGTACTAACTACTATAGTTGGTCTTGATGATCGTTTTGGTCGATGGTTAAGAAGTATATCAACAGCTCCCACTACTTCAGAGTCGATTGCCACCAAAAGTGCATCTGTGGACTTTAAAAAAAAAAAAGGTTAAAAATGAAGATTGAAAACAAAAAGGTAAACTAATTATTTTTAGTAATTCATAACTAAACTATTTTTGAAATTTTTGAACTGTATTTTATACAGCAATACTGAATGTGTAAAAATTTAGACTGCACAAATAGTACATTTGCTTGCAGTAGCTGTACTTCTATGTACCACAACACACACGTTTCTGTCCTGGCTTCAGTGCATGAGGTGGTAAGATGGATGCTTATAGAAGGGGCTATTAATGGAACAATGCTGATCAATACAATAATTAAAGTTGAACTTTTTTTCAAGATCTTTACTCTTGAACTGTGGACCAAAAGAACTTTAACATTCCAAATCTGTAAAAGAAATTACTGGGGACTATTACTACAGGCATCATGTTCAGTCAATAAACATGATCATCTATGCAACCATGAGGAGAGGGAAGAATGGTAACTATATAAAGGTGGGAACTTCTGTTCTAATCTTTAAAGCATATATAGCTGACCTAAACTGTATAAATTTCACATTAATATTAGCAATTTTATAAGGCAAAACCCACAACGAATTAGGTTACCAATGTCCTTAGAGACTGGAGAGATGATTGACTTTGTAATTCTACTCCTAACCTATATATAGCTCATTGTGAAGCTTGAACTTTGACAGCAGGAAAAAGTAAATAGAAGCTGAAGAAATGTGTAATTTTCAGCTCTCTGTAACAAAATCTATTAAGATACATGGCAACAATTTCATCAATTTTTTTTAAGGAAAAACCAATAAAGGCCAGAGAGAAATACGGGGTGAATAATAATTTAATCTAAGAAAATGCCCTGATTATCTTTAACCTATACATTTTCTTCCTGTTATCTTTAACAACTGTTCAAATCAATGTTTTCTCTCAGAATGAAACTATTATTGGGGCTTTAATACTCTTTGTAGTTGAAAAGAATAAAGTTTTCATTCACTTTCTCTGGATGTCAGAAACAGGAAAAAAATGGCAGACTTTATCTGGATGTCTGAAAATAGAAGTAAGCATCCCAGAGAAGGAGTTGGAGGACTCATTCAACCATTAGGAAAAGCCCATGTTTTCCCATAAGAAAAAATTCCCCACCTAAGCAGGAAATGTAGCTTCTTGTTTTACCTGTTAAAACTTTTAGCGTTCATTAGGCTCTACCCTATGCTATAAAGGCCTAGAATTATTATTATTCTGCTTTGCAAACACTTCTCCTCAGTTTCTACAGTAATTTGGTCAGTTGATGTAAACAAACAAACAAAAAGCATGCTGTGCCTACTGCTACTAAATATTTGATTTATGATTTTTAATTTTAACCTATAAAACCAACTATAGGAATGCCACTACTCTCAAAGTCAAACAACTTCAACCATCTGAAACATAGTCATGGATCCCAACTGCAGCTTTCCAAGACAAGCATATAGAAGTGTCACAAATTAACTCCCTCAACATTACTTCCCAGAATAAACAAGTCCAAGCACACTAACTTAGAAGCATCTATTAATGATGGATATCTAGTTTCCCCAAGTACCTTTCAGATGTTCACAGAATAAGGGAACAGGAGATTAAAACCAACAAAGTGTGGAGAAAAAATTAAAAACTGCTAAAAGTTGACCACTGAAAAGATAATACACTAGGGAAGCAAAATCACTATAGGTGCACAGAAGTCCAAAACCATTTAATGCAAAGACAAACACTGTTGTTTCTGATCATATCAAGCAAAGTAAAATGATTACATTTTACTTAAAGTTAAATTATATTCAGAATACACTATACAGTAAAGAATAAAAATCATATTTCAATGCTTAAAAGTATAAGCTTCAGTTTTAAAAAGTATTTATTTATATTTTAAAATGCCACGTAAATAAGAATTTACCATCGACTGTATGAAAGGTTGTTATTTGATAAAACAAGGACAATTCTGAAGGAAAAAAAAATTTCAAAAATATTCATAGGTATACAAAATGTCCCCCCTAGTTTTGTTTCCCAATTTCTCACAGATATTTGACCACTCCTAATTAAAATCTGCTGCCAACAATGGGCTCAAACAAAGCAACGACTGTGAGGATGGTGCAGGACTGGGCAGTATTTCATTCTGTTCTACACAAGGTCACTATGACTCAGAACCAGCTCCACTGCACCTAACAACAATTAATCTATTCAAATCATGTATTTATTACATATTTGTGAGGTCCCAACTTTCTTCTCAGAGACAGAATTTGTCTTTCCAACAATTTCCATACTCTTTCTCCCAAGCTCAGAGTAAGAAGTGACTTAATTCCTCTAGAAAGCTAAATTCTCCATCTTGGTGTTCTATTTTATACTCTCCTGCCCTGTAAGATTTTAATCCTTCATTTGTAGAAAAACAAACCCCATTCTCCACCACCCAAAACTTTAAATCCTTTCTCAGTTTTGCTAACTTGACTCAGTGCTATCTTTGTCTTGACACTCAAGTTTTCTTCTTCCTTTCATGGTGTCAACTTCTCAAACCAATCATTTTTTCTAATTCTACTGATGCCATACTTTCAAAATCCAATGGTGTTTTATACCTTGTCATAGTTAAGGTTATGTGTCTACTTGGCTAGACCATGATTCTGAGTGGTTTAAGCAGTTGTAGTGTGGCTGTTCCCATGAGATGTAATGTTAGGTAGTCACCTCCATGGTGGGAATTGCTTTAAGCAGTCAATCACTTGAAAAGGAGTTTCCCTATGGGTGTGGCCTGCTTCCAATATATGTGTGGGTGTCCTGGGAAAATTAAAAAACTTCATGTTGGGTCTGGATCCTGTCGTGCTGCCTGCTGATCTTGGGTCCATTAGCCCCCTACAGCTTTGTGAGTCAGGAAAAGCCTCCAGCTTGATACCTGGCCCCAAAACTTGGGACTTGCCTGCCTCTGCAACTGTCCTGTGAGCCAATAATCCACCATTTTGCCTACTGATTTTGGACTCGTCATCTGCAGAAATCAGCAGCTTGCTATATTGCATGCCAATCTTGGGTTCATCAGCCCCTGCAGCTTCAGGAGTGAGGAAAAGCTGGGCATTTGAGCCAAGAATTTGGGACTTGCCATCCTTTCTAACTATGTGAGCCATTTCCCTGAGATAAATTTCTCTCTCTCTTTCTCTGTAAGCTTTACTGGCTTTGCTTCTCTAGAGAACCTAGCCTAAGACATACCTCCTCATTCTCTTTGATTGCTAAACAATGTATTAAATCTGTTTCACAATGTTAACTAGGCTAACTACCTGTGACATCTCTAACCAGGAATTTTGTCCCCTTCAATGAAATCTTTTCCTTTCAATGCCCTTAAATGGAGTTGTTCATTAAGACAGAATTGGCATCAGCCCTTTGGTTTTTCTGTGATTTCATCGACTCTCACATCAGTAGTCAGCTCCACATTCACAACTGCCTACTTTATTCCTCTGGCTGACCTCTCCCTAGAGATACAATCTTCATCTCTGCTGGTTGAAGACAGCTTGATATCCTCCAAATACACATGACTCAACCCAGAATTCAACTTCTCTGCCCCAAAATTGACTTCTCTTCTGAACTTCCTGTTTTTCTTTCCTCCTTCTTGTCTTCCATGTTTATTTCCAAGTGATCTTAGAATCCTCCTTAATTCCCACCCCTTCAAACAATCACTAGGTTCTGTTAATCCTTCCTTCATAATATTTCTCATATCTGCCACTTTCTACCCCCGCATTCTTATTGTCACTAATCCAGTTTAGACCTTAACCACTTTATGTCAGTATTGTATTACTACCAAAACTACTCACTCAGGTTATTGTTTTCTCCACCCTCCATTTCCAAATCTATACCAAATAGTCACAAAACCCCACTGAACATATATCACACTACTTTCCAGAAATCATTTAATTATACCCCCTTGTCTATCATATAAAATCCAAGTCCCTTAGCCAGGCATTCAAGGTCCTTTTCAACAGTTTGTTTTATTTAGTTATTTTTCCTGATATTTTCTACTACTCTCCAGTCCAAATATTCTGTTTTTTAAAAAAGGCTAAGTCAATTTATTGTCTCAAGAACATTCATTGTATGTACCTTTGTTTACATCATTCTCCACAAACTCTGTTCTCTTCTCTGCACCTATCTATACATTTTGTAGAATAGATTAGGGTAATAGGGAAGAGCATGGACTCTCAAGGCAGAACGTGGGTTCAATTTCTAAGTTGGCCATTTATGGAGTGACTCTGGGCAAGTTACTTAATCTTGATTTCTTCCTCTATAAAATGGAGAAAATCCTAGTGCCTATTTCATAGGACTGTTGAGAAGATTAATTAAGTATACATACTTAAGTTAGAGAAAATGAAAGAAACCTTCAATGAGATGGATTGACACAGATGCCACAGTGGACTCAAATATATCAACAATTATGAAGACGGCAAGGACTGGGCAATTCTGTTTCATAAGGTCACCATGAGTCAGAACCAATTCATTAGCAACTAACAACTTAAGGTTCCTGGCACAGAACAGCACTATATAAGTGCTAACAATTATTAATATTTCAAGGCTGAGTTCAACTGACACCTCTTCCATGAAACCTTTCTAGATAGATCCAGTCCGTAGTGATCTTGCTCTTGCCTATGTTTTTAACATATTTATTGTGAACCACAAAATATTAAGTATAAAACAGGGTTTCTCAATTTGCACTGTTCACATTTTGGGATGGATAATTCTTTGTTTTGGGAGCTACCCTGTGCATTGTGACATGTTTCATAGCACCCTTAGCCTCCACCCTGTAGGTAACAGTAGCAACCTGCCTTCCAGCTATGACAACCAACAATGTCTCCTGACAATGCCAAACAACATCTTTAAGGGGGACAAAATGCTCAGGTGCCTACTCGTGGTATAAAACAAGATAAAACACATGAATACATTTTGCAAACTTCAAAACAATATACAGGGTCAAGAATTATTACCAATCAGCACTTATCAAATATACTTTTGTTTATTTAACTAACTTGTAATTCACATAGACTTTAAGTGTCCAGTTAGTTTTCAGATCCTTTAGCACAGAACCCATACTTTAATTAATCATTTTCAGACACAGATAGCCTGAGACAGAACACAGTGAATTGAAAAGAGCAATGGGATTTGCAATCAGAAGATCAAGTTTAGAATCTTAGCTTTGCCCTTACTAATTTTAGAACTTTGGGAAATTCATTAAAGTCTATGAGCCTCAGTTTTCTGATCTATAAAAGGTAACATCCACATTGGGTAGCTATGATGTTCAAATGTGATCACGTAAGTGAAAGAACCATGTATATTACAGAGCTATTATTATATATGCACAGACTCGTATGTATTGAAAACCAAAACTGGTTATTACACCATACCTCATTTTCCAGAATCATCAAAGACTGAGTTTCTTATTTTCTAGGTAACTGAAGCTTATGCCTTTAAGTGTTTCATTTTAAAACTATTTTGGTGGAAATCTTCTATAGTTCGCCTTTCTTCTAAAATAATATGGACTGAATATAATTTAACTTTCCCTTATTGACTCTAGGACATTGTTATTAACATTAATTTCCAATCTTATATAGATCCCTCTGAGATTATCAGATGTTTAATGCTCTTGATGTCTTTTATTACATAGTATCGGAGATATTGCTCCTACTCATTTTGTTCCACTACAGCCCTTGGGCCCCTTCCATTGCCCCACTAATTCTCTATGTGTTGTAAAATTAAGTAATTAAATTTGTTAAAAGGGAAACTAAAATAAGAAAATATAGCCTTGAAGGAGGGCTCCGAAAGTGTCCCTATATGTAAAGTAAATCATTCCATTTGGGGACTTCGTGATAGCTGTTCTGGCTGCTCAGTGATTTGTCACTTTGCTCAGCTGTGTTCTGGATAGTTGAGGTTGCTGAATAGCAGTTTGTTTTTTTAAGGATATGTATATATACAGAAACAGTAGCATGTATTGATAATACATATACATAATAGAAGTTACATAGAAGTAACTGACTTATAGTAAAAAAAAAAGGGTGCCCACTATATATGTACAGCTACCAAATATCTTCTCATGCCGCTTAAAAACTACACCTCATTAATTTAAAGCCACAACAAAGTACACAATCATGCCATCTGAAGGCAAAAACAAGAGGCCGGAATGAGTGCACTGAGTCTCATCATAAGCAAACCAAAAAGGAAAGGAAAATAACATTACTAAATTTATTTCAGAATCTTGTGATTCTCTTAAATCTTTTAGGACTCATGTGTTTTCCTATCTGAACTGATAAGAAGACAAACAGAAAGGTTGATCTTTTCCAGATTAAAAAAAAAAAAAATTATTCACTTTTATTGAGAAGCAAACATTAAATTTCAGACAAAAGTGTATTGAAACCTAACAGGAGAAAAACAATGTCAAACTGAAAATTGCTTTATGAGTCAGGAGTATTTTGTTCTTATGCCTGTAAATAATACCAGGCCACAGTAAAACTTGTTACCTTGACACTTCCAAGAAAATCTGTATTATGTTTAGGTATATAGTATAAATAGTAATAATACAGGTAATACAAACAAAATCATCTTTAGTAATTCATGATAGATAACCTCTGCTAGAAGTTGTAAATCATATAAAGAATACATGGAAAGAGTGAAATTGGAAGAAAAAAAGAAGAAAATCAACTTACAATTTGCTTTTTTTAGGTTGTTTTACAAACTTTTAAAGTGACTCAAAACCAAATAAAAGGTGAAAGAAAGAAAAGGAAAAGAAAGAATGAACAATAGAAAGAAAGAAATCATGGCATATCTAACAGTACTTAGAAGCTAATGGATAATTATCTAGCCTTGTACCTGACAACCGTAGTCCAAAAGAAGTTGCAGTATATCCAAGTTTTCGTTTTCAATAGTTATGGTAACAGCATTTCTCCCAAGCACATCTACGCAATTTATGTTCAAGTCACCTGAACAGTTTTCCTCCAAAATCTTTTTAACCATATAATAGTCACCTAAATAACAATATACAAACATAATTTAATATCCATGACATATTAAATAAGAATGACTATAAAGAATGGTGCTAATTTAAGAGATTAAAAAACTGAACTTATTTTTGTATATAGAAATTTGAAAAGAAAATGTGAACATTTCTTTGCTTAAAACTTATATTCTGATACATCAGCTGCAAACATAAAAAGCAAGTAGAAAATATTTTAAAGCATAATGTGAAATAAAACTGATTTCGTTTGAAATTCATAATTGGATGATTATAAGTAGGGGGAGAAATTTTAAGAAGAAGATATTTAAAGCAGTTTAATAAAGGATGTCAAAACACAAATTGGAGGCTAGTAAAATAAGGTAGAAGAGGTTCAAGAAAATTAAGTTTTACATCTCAGATACACACATTTACTCACACATCGTAATGGTTAAAAATGAGATCTAGTAAAAATATGGAGGATATTATAAAAAGATTTTACAGGGAAAAACATACAGTGGAAAAGAAGAATGGATATGTGTATGCTTTGGGTGTGTGTTATTAAGAGGGAAGGATGCCCCAAATCCTTTCCTCTCCTCCCCACCCTCCCAATACACATCTCATTAATGAAGCTTTTTCAATTAAATGTCCAGGGAACCCTCAGTTCACAAATTCTAAAGCAGGACTAGGATTAATGCAGGTAGAGGCAAAAGTAAGAATATTTCAAAGTGAAGGATTTCCTTCTGCCTGACTCTAGTCCACATAAAAACAGTTGACCCATGTGGGGAAATGGGAGTAACTATGGAGGCAATCATTTTCACTGAGGGTCCACTATACCTGTCTGTAGCCAAGCTGGTGCAGGAATAAGAAGGAACAATCAAGAGAAAAAGTGCTAAATAAATAGAGAAAGAGAGCAAAGTGGGGTTTGTTTTATTTCATTTTTTAAAACATAGAATGAATAAATCATTTTAAGTAACTTGCAAATACTTACATATTATTAGAAATATCTGAGTAAGAAAGAGGGGAAAAAACAGAGTAGAAACCTGAAGGATAAAGAAATATAAATGATTTCATGATATAGGAAGAGAAATGACTGAAGCTGGACTAAATGAGTTAGTAAGAGAGATGAGTAACAGATTTTATTTGTTAGAATTTCAAACAAAATTTGCTATTATTTTAAATCAAGAGACTTAAAGTCTTCATTAACTTTGAAAGAAGTTGAATAGTTTTCTTGATGGCAGATGTCCTTAATTGTCTCAAGAAGAAATTGTTTTTCCTCTAGTCACAAAAAGAAATACCTTCCTCTTAAAAATCTCACTGAAACTCACTGCCGTCGAGTCGATCCTGACTCATAGCAACCCCCCTTTGGGTTTTGGAGGCGGTATCTCTACAGAAGTAGATTGCCCAGTCTTCCTTCTGAGGAGTGGCTGGTGGGTTTGAACTGCCAGCCTTCCGGGTAGCAGTCAGATACCTCATATACAAATGATCTGTCTTAAAACTATATGTCTTAACTCCTTATCAAACACTTCACACAGTGATACTCTTAGTCACAATTTGAACCAATAATGACCAATTAGATCAGTGAAAATGCATCACTACTATTGGAAAATAACATTTAATATCTTATTTCACATGAATCTGTTTCAATATCTTGTTGTTGTTGTGTTATGTGCTGTTGACTGAGACCTGACTCATAGAGACCCCTCCTTGGGTTTCTGAGGCAGTATTACTATGGAAGTAGACTGCCCAACTTTCTTTCCAAGGAGTGGCTGGTGGGTTTGAACTGCCAGCCTTCTGGTTAGCAGTCAAGTGCCTTAGGCACTATGCTACCAGAGCTCTTTTCAATGAAAATTCTTCTATACCAGTAATAAGAGCAAAGTTCAACAAAACAAAACAACAAATACTGGTGAGGGTGTAGAGAGATTGGAACTCTCATATATTGCTGATGGGCCAGTAAAATGGTACAGCCATTGTGGAAAACGGTATGGCACTTCCTTAAAAAGTTAGAAACAGAGATACCATTTGATCCAACAATCCTACTAGTAGGAATATATTGTAAAGAGGTGAGATCCGGGACACGAATAAATATATGCACACCCACATTCATCGCAGCACTACTTGCAAGAGCAAAGAGACGGAAACAACCTAAGATGAATTAATAACTGAACTATGGTACATACACACAATAGAATACTATGCAACATTAAAGAATAATGAAGGATCAGCAAATCATCTCATAACATGGATGAACTTGGAGGACATTATGCTGAATGAAATAAGTCAGTAACTGAAGAACAAATATTGTATGAGTCCATCACTATAAAAGGCAAGGAAAGGTTTGCACAGGGAAGGAAATTTTCTTTGTTGGTTACCAGGAATGGGAGGGGAGGTGAAGGGATGGAAAATAGATAGTTAAGAAATAGGTTTGATATGGGTGAAGGGAAAAACAATATAACAAAATTGTGTGATTAGCATGGTATTAGTAAGGAAAAGGAAGACACAGAGATACAATCAATAAAGGCAAATACTACTGTAGGCACAATACTGCATCATCAGTAACAGCAAACACTAATCTGTGGGTGGATACATAGGTAGACAGGCAAGAAGATCAGGTACGGACACGTGAATGAGAATATATCCATGACCATACCTAGGTTTGGCAGATGATATTCCTACATAAGTAGGAATACTTATGTGCTATAAACATGTCCACATGCAGTTTAAACCTAACAGGAAACAAAGTTAGGATAACTTCTTAGCCACAATTCAGCAGCTTGAGGGTGTGAGTCACTGGGCTCATGGGCTGGGGACCATGTCAAGGGGGACATCAAGGTCAACTAGCACCACATGGTATACAAAATTATTGTTCTCATCTTACTTTGGTGAGTAGTGACTGGGGTCTTAAAAGCTTGCAAGCAGCTATCTAACTCTTGATCTCTCCCTGTCTGGAGCAAAGAAGAGTGAAGACAATCAAAGACGCATAGAAACAGTCCAAAGGACTAATGGACCATGAGAACCTCAGCCTATATAACGCTGAGACCAGAAGAACTAGATGGTTCCTGGCTACCAACGCCAACCACTCAGAAAGGGCTCAATATAGGAGATCCTGGATAGAGTGGGACAAAAAGGTGGAACAAACCTCAAAGTCATTTAAAAAAAAAAAAAAAGACCAGGCTTACTGGTCTGATGAGGACTGGTGAAACACCTGAGACTATGGCCCCAAGTCACCCTTTGGGCCTGGAATTGAACCCACTCCTGTGGCTTAATTCTCAGGGAAACAATACACAGACTACTGTGAACACCTACACAAAGGGGATGTACTCCTTAGAACAATCAACCATCAGGGATCAGAAGGGCAGCATTTGCACAGGGAGAAAGGCAGGGAGTCAGGAATGTACAGGCCAGAAGGGCACAGGGAAAGTCTAACCACTGGGAGGAAGTGGGAGGAGAGCTATTACACTACGGGGAATATAAGCAGTGTCACAAAATGAAATGTGTATGACTCTTGAATGTAAAACAAGTCTCCCTTTTAAATATCACCCAAATCACAATAAAGTTTTTAAAAAAATCTGCTATATATCCTTTGGCTTCATGATGTGTCTAGGACAGGATTTATTTTTCATTTATCTTGCTTGGAACTCATTAGGCTTTATAAATTGAGGACATCTGCCCTTCATTAATTCTGCAATATTTTCACCTATTGTCTCTGTTCTGGTTACCTAGTGCTGCTCTGACAAGAAATATACCACAAATGGAATAGCCTTAACAAACATGAGTTTATTCTCTTACAGTTTGGAGGCTTTAAGTCCAAGTTCAAAGTGCCAGGCTCTAAGGGCTGGGGGAAAGCCCCTCAGCCTTGGGCTTCAGCTCTGCCTTCAGCTCCCGGCCCAGTGGTCAAGCCCAAGGTTGACAAGTAAAAAGGCACAGTCCCAATGTTACCAAACCAGGCCATTAACTTAAGTTCATTGTAAGTCCCAAGGTTGGCAGACCATGGCAGGCTGCTGAACAATGACACAGCTACGTGCAGAGTCCAAGTGTGCCATAGGCTAGAGACCATTCCCAAAGCTGCTTCTTATATACAGGAAGCAGACCACATACCCAAAGCAGCTACTCAGCTGCTTGTGGTAGATCCCACCATGGAGTTGATTGCCAGTCTCCTCATGGGGAATAACTACCACCAGCTGCCCAGCCATTCAACCAGGCCCAGCCAAGTTAACACACAAACATAACCATCACAGTGCCTATTTTTTCTCCTATTGGAGCTTCTATTAGACATTCTGCACCTTTTCTTCCAGCTACTGTGTCCCTTGAGCTTTCTTATTTTTCCTTTTCTCTTTTTCCTGCATTCTGGGTAATTTCTTCAGTTCTCTTTTCAGTCACTTATTTCTCCTTTAGCTAAATCTGCTGATTAACCCAATCATTTTTTGTTTTTAACATTTCAATGATATTTTTCATAAGTTTTGTTAGATTTCTTTTCAAACCTGCCTGGCTCTTTTGATTTACTTTATGTTCTCACTTTCTTATTTTAAACTTTTAGTCATCTTAGACATATTACATAGTCTCCAAATGATAAATTTAATCATATGTGCTTCTCAGGGATTTAATCCTGTTACTTGTTTTGCTTGTTGCCTCTTGATAATGAGAGTTTGTTTCCTAAATTTCTAAATTGGGGATTGCAACCCATCTTCAATGGGGCTTAACTTTGAGAATCTTGACAGCCTGGTTTCAAAGTTGTCCCACCAAGATTTTATGTTTGGTTCCGCCAAATAACTCAAAGGTTTTGCTAACCTGAGATCCCTTCTTAGATTAATTTGTCAATTTAGATATTCTCAGACCAAGTCCAAACCAAGCCAAGCCAGTTGCTGTGGAGTCGATTTCAATTCCTGGCAACCACACAGGACAGAGAACTGTCCCATAGAGTTTCCAAAGCTGTCTGGTGGTGTAGTGCCTAAGGAATTTGCCTGCTAACCAGAAGGTTGGCAGTTCAAGCCCACCAGTCACTCTGTGGAAGGAAGACTGGGCAATCTACTTCCA